CGTCGGGGGCCCGGGGCAGACGGGGGCGGCCGCAGCGCTGGGGCTACAATGGGCTCCGGCTCGCGGGGAGCGGAGCCGGGGGCGGCGCTCGGACCCTACGGGCCATTGCGTGGCTGAGATCGCACTGGCTTTGTTCGAACGTACGAAAAACTTGTGTTATTTTTTTAGTGTTCTTAAAGGTAGTAACCGCTTCCTGAGAGTGCAGCGAGAAGGCCAAATGCCTTTGGTGTCTGGTAGAACACAATGAAGCGGTAGGGTTTGATTCTGCTTCAAACCTGCCTGTGCAGACCACAATAACAAAAAGTTGAGGAAAATACCTCCTGTCCTGAGTGGATCGTCCGTACAGCGAACAGCTTGGGGTTAATCTCCATGGCAGTTATTGTGCAAAGATTGTTGGGTTTTGTTTTGGCATGGTTTTCTTTCGTGCATTTCCTAAGATCAGACTTCTATTTCCTTGAGAGAAAATTAATATTTTTGGGACGGTTTATATTCTTCTGTTTTACAGTTTGTAGCAAGATGGCTTAATACCAAAATGTGTAGCGTGTTTGAGTTGTGATAAAGAGGTTCTTATCACCTGATTTCGGGATGCTTTTTTCTGAGCAATTAGATGTGTATGAGCAATGAGAATCGGCAAAACTCTTAATTCGCCTAATATTCACTTATAGGCTAGATGTGAACCAGATACTTTGAGGTTTATTTTACTTTCTCTTTGTTGCCTCTCCACTGAGAGTTCAGGCCTTCATAGTTTCAGTGAGCTGATGGTGTAGCTCTTCAGGTATGTGGAATATGAATGCATTCGAAATCTAATTGCTATGCCATGTTACCATTTTTACACATAAAGCATAGTTTTTTTGTTATATTTAAACACGTCTAAGTTTAAAACCAGATGTTAACAACAGTCGCAGTTTTGTTGAGAATCTGAGGAAAATGTTGCCTACTTTTCTCAACAACTGTGTGTCAACGCGAATATAAATATGCTGGGGAAGTGGGAGAAGGAAACTCGAATAAAAAGGGAAATGCTAATTTGGTAGTGGTGTTGCTTGGGTTATATGTGTGGAAATGACACGAAATCACCTGACAGTTTTCTGAAGTGTTCAGAGTTGAAAATTTGGAATTTGGCCCAGCAGAATGGTTAGTAGGCAAATGCATGTGATAAACTGCTTGATAATGCACATTCTGCAGATTATTATGTGGATGTTGCACATAGGAAAGTCCATGTTACTAGAATCCTATTTTTTCTGCATCAATAAAAATGGTTTGTTTTTATTTTTTTCTTGTAGTATCACTGTAGTACTGAATCCTTTTCTTCTGTTAGGGATGTTGGCACAGTGCTGAGGCAACTGTAATTGTATCTGGTATCATGATTGAGCTAATAGTGCAAGCAGTTGGCTGAAATAGCTGGGCTTGCCTGTCTTTTTATGAGAAGATGCCTCTTGTTATGATAGTTTAAATCAAATCTTACAGTGGATTGTGGAGTACACTGGAGGCTTTATGTAGCAGTTTTCCTTGGGTGTTCCTCTGCAATGTTCTCGGTGGGCCAGATGTTGCAGATGTATAGGGCAAGTGTGTTAACAGAATATCAGCTTGCTGAATACTGTGAGCTAGATCTGATTTTTAAACACCACTTTCTAGTTCACTTTTAGATATTGCCCCCTCTCCTTGATTAAGTGATATTTGACTATACACTGAATAACCAGTGTGTGTAGAAGCATTCTCCTTGGTAATTTCTTCCTTTTCTTTGTACAGTGGTTTCCAAAATCCCAAAATTATTTGACCAAGTTTTTATACACAGAGGCACATAAGCAAATAGAGGGTTTGAATTACTGCTTGTATGTCTTCTTGCTTTTTTTTGAATGTGGAATTATATGAAAATTAACTGCCTATTACAGTAAAAAGAAACCTGAATTCTCTTGAATGTTAAATTCTGTGTTGTGAATCTGTAAAATGAGCATTAATACATTGTATATTTTTTTTTTTTAAGTTTGATAGAAACTCTACAGAGGAAACAACATAAGACAGTAGACGTGATGTATAAATGCATCTCATTGTGTTTATCAAAAGTATAGGTATGTAAGAGAGTTATCAATCTTATTTCCCTTCAAGTAATTTAGGTAAAAATGTTTGCCTCATTTAATTGGGATTTCCCCACCCATAGCATCTGTTTTCTTGATTATTCCACATAAGCCATTGCCCAGGCCTTTTTTTGTCTTGGGAATGAGGCAAGAAATCTCTCCTTTAAAAGTTACTGTAACAAATAATACCAATTGTCTAGTAATGAAGTTGTAGGCACTTACACAGTCATATAGTGGAAAAGCATTTTAAATTACATCAAAGCATATAACGAATTTGGTTCTAGCTGCTTCAGTGTCACTTCAAACAGTTTGTGTAAAATTTATACAATGGCTTGCATGCTAAAACTTTAAAGCAAGATTTAGTTTGGATCTCACTTGGAATACCTGCTGTGGTTTTTAGAATAGCAGGCAAGAGCTGATATGTGAAATGTTTATCTTACAAATAAAGACCACTTATCTCTAAAGATTATATTTTATTATTGC